TAGCTGAGGGGAGTGCGAGGTTTAATGACTGGACGACTGGTACACAGTGCGACCGTGTTCGTCTAYCACAGGTTAGTCAAAAATAGCCATAAACATTAGATCTAGGGGTGTAGGGTGGGTTGACATGACCCTACTAACTCGTATATAATGATTAAACTAATTAGAATTTTGTTTGCTGAATATTTGCGCAGTTGTATCCAAAAAGGAGGAGGTTGTGTCTGATCATGCTCAGTGATCATTGATGGCGCGCGTCAACTCCCTTTTCAAAATCCTACGTCCGATCTGTTATCAACAAAGTCGCGCGTAACTCTTTTCCATGAGGAAAAAAAAAAACATTTTCTCTAATGTTTTTCTGTCCAATTTTCAACATTTTTTTTTTTCAACTTAAATTTCAAATAGATAAATTGAATTTTACTTTTTGGCCGAATTATCTTTAAGTTGTGAATGTTACAATTCGAGTCGTTTTATATTCATATTTTAGGCATTTCCAAGAAGGCCCAAAGTCTTTATCACTGCGCACCACAATGTTTTGAACAGAAAACATGAGATGCAACGTCTGCTTGGCTTGAAGATATCACTACCAATGAATTTACCATCTGCGTTAGGGAAGCTAGAACTTTTGATGGACGCCACAAAGATGTCGAAGTGGTAAGGTGTTATTGTCATTCCTAATCCAAAGTAACTGTTTTACATTAGAAATTTTTATTCTTGAAGAATAGTTTATAAATTTAAGATATCAGAAGGGGATTTGGACTCACCAATGCTACCCGCTTATATGAGTAGAGTGGTTGGTTCACTCCTTTGCTTTTCCAGTGTTTCCTCACCCTGCAAAAATCAACTTCTAAACTGATAATTCAATCTAATTCTTACTCGCTTTTTCGACCTATGCGTAGCCTTATCAAGTGGGTTGCAAAACCTGCTAGGCTTTCCGTCCACCATGGAGTGGAAAATCCGATTAGATATATATTAGTGTGTTGTTGGGATGTGGTAGTTGACTTTTAAGAGTACTTTTAATTATTTATTTTTCGATTCCTTCCCACTACAATGCAGATATGGATGGCCTTGACTGAGGTTCCACTTTCCTGGAATCATAACGAGTTTGACACCCTAGAATTCCCTAACAGTCTAGTTCCAGTAGAAGAAGACAACGATGCCTTTTGCCAGGTATTGGGCAAACATGATGTTACGCCTTTCTTGATCAGCACACGTGAGCTTTTGGTAAAGTCACTATTTGAACGTTATTGTTAGGGCACAATATTCAATTACTCCAGTTTTGAATTCTCTGTTACTCAGGCTTAGCCTCCATTTTGTGTAGAATATTCATATGTTCCGGTCAAGGTCCGTGGAATTTCAAACTGTTTGTATTGTTGAAGTTGTGCATTCTTTACTTTACCGTTGGTATTTGTGAATATTTAAACACTGATACGAGGCTAACCCTGTGTGAATGAGTCTGTAATCAAGGAACACAGCAGTATCCTAGTAATTTGAAAAAGGGCTTTTTTGATTTAAGGCAATTTATAATGAGGTAGAATTTTCAGCTTGTGCGCGCCAAGTAGCTAGCTGTGTTCTTGATCTGGATTCGTGCCTTCTCTACANCACACTAGTCACCCCCATTTGGAATTGAAAAACAAGGAGAATAAAGGATGAGGTTAGTAAAACTTAAAAAGGATGCTGAGTGATGCCTTTCCAGGTAACAGTCACCCATATGAAATCGTTCTGGATTCGCTCGGCACTGATTTGTGATAGTTAATCGGTACGATAAAGTAATGAGAATAACATATTTGATCAATAGTACGCACCTGCAGATATGCCAGTACAATAACAATTGAGATATATATATAAGGGGTCATTTACTCATTGCTTGTCGAGTTGCACATCGAGTGTGGACTGACATAGTATTATTATGTTGAAGTTCCTTGTCTTATGTTTGCTGCTGCTAGCGGCTATTGCTGTTAAAGGTAAGAATTCACCTTCGATATTCATGCAGGTTGTGCTTCGTCTGCAGGAGAACTTTTYCACTCTAACACGAAACAAATTGTACTGACAAATTAGCAGAGAAACTTAATGTCACACCCTAATGAATCATTTGTGTCTGAAAAAAAAAATCCACAGTACCCAACTATATTTACAAAGACGACGGAACCCGAGGGACCAGTTTGCCTTAAAAAGTCGTAAGACATAAAATCGTACGTTTTGGTGTTAATTTTATGTTAAAAGACAGTTTATTCGTTAATTRTGGATAGGACTTACAGAACGTAAAGATCCCTTCTCCAAAAATAGGTGTGTACACATAAAGAAGCTTTGTTAAAAGTTTTGGCGGGAATTTTTTTCTTTTCAAAAGAAAGTAAAAAAAAATACTTTAACCTTATAGGGATACAACATGGAAAGATTCAAATAGCGCAGTCAAGCATCGATGGCTTTTACTGCGAGATTGTAACSTTCCCATCAGCCTTCACGGGAAGTGACTCTGTGAAAGTGTTCACGTCATTAAGCCTGGGTTCCAACTCATCACGYGTACACGATGCAGGATTCACGTGGACCGAGTCCTTGTCAAGAAGTAGTTTCAAAGTGTGTATAGTTGAGAGTGGCTCGGGTTTCGATGGAAGAGTGAGAGTCAACTGGCTTGCGTATCAAGGAACTGAACCGGGAATAGCTGAGGGGAGTGCGAGGTTTAATGACTGGACGACTGGTACACAGTGCGACCGTGTTCGTCTA